GTGAGCTCCAGCAGAACAAAATGACAGTAGTTCCACATGACCTAGGCAAACTGAATTTCATCTGCATGAGAAAACTAACTGAATATTAATTGATATGTTCTTGGTCTAGTAGGTAACAGTGGCATGATCAGTCAGCAATGCCTCTCTTGAGCCAGCCATGGGGAGGGGAGGCCCAAGTGCTGGTTGTTTTCCATTTTCTTTCTGGATGGTGAGAGGGCTACTGAATTGTCATATGCTGTATCTTCTTCTTTCTCTGAATGATCCCATGACAACCTCCCTGACATCCTTCTTCTAACTTCTTCCTATCTTACTCCATTTCTTCATGCATTTTGCATTTTTTCTTTACTTGTTCTAATAGAGTCATTTCACCCACTCTACCTAATTGCCTCTGCTCAGATGTGAAAGAAATAGTCAGAATCCATGTGAATGGAACAGCATGACAACCAAAGTGTTTGATTATTACCACTCCTAAATCTCAGATTTATCTAAAGTGCCTCAAGGGACTTTGATATCACCCCATCAACCTTTGCCTCAAAGAACAGAAACAGCCAATTAGGACTGCACCACCTATTCCAGAAACAGACGCTTCCTAAGACCTCAAAGTCCCTACTCTTTTCTCTAAGTCTGTCTGGCTGTCCTGACACAGTTAAAAATTAATATTCTTGTTATTCTGGTCCATAAGACATATAAAATATATTTCTATTTTGTTCCTACTACTCTAAGAGCTTGTAAGTTATGTGGGATTTTAATGCTATTATGCCATAAAAAAAGGTTCAATGAATGTGATTACAGTAACTTGGGTTCTTATTTTTTGAGCTAGCTACATGGCTCTGACCATTGGAAAACATGGTATTTGTCTTATCTACTTCATTAGGTTGCTGCAAGGTTTATGGAGATAATGGATACAAAACTGCTTTGTATAATGCTATTCAGATACAAGAAGTTGTTATGCATTTATGTATTAATAGCATATTTATACCACTCTTCCAAAAATGACTTTATGAAGCTAATGCATATTCAATAAAATAAGAAAATGTTCTATTTAAATAAAAAGTTGCTTCATAAAAGGGTAAATTTAAAAAAAATAGTTATTTTATTTTGCTTTTCTCTAAACTTTAGTCCTCTACTTTTCTGGAATCAGCAATATGACTTGACTTAACCTCTAAGAATTTTGTGTATATTATATTTAGAACTATGTTTCTCAAAACAATTGACAGAATGTCCAGTAACTTGTTATACTGCCATTTAACTATTGCTTTTTTTCTCAATAATTATTTATTTTGTTCTATGCTCCCTGTGAACATGGATAAAAAGATAAATGAGAATTACTGCTTTATAGTGATAAAAGGTAATTAAAGAGTTGTTTCATTTTTCTATGCCTTCAGGAAAAATCTAATGACCTTGATAATATGATCTAAGATTTATCGCCCACCATTTATTTGTACAAGCTCTCCCAGTATACTGAACCAAATCAAACTGCTTTTCGTGATCCCCAGATTCTCAAAACACCTCCAGGTCTATTGTAAGATATGTTAAGTTTCTTCTGCTCTCAATGTCTTTCTGATTCTCTAAACAGAAATGTTTCTTCATCCTCCAAGAATCAGCCCTATAATCTCCTGCTTTAATAAGTCTTCCTTATTACTTTAGTTTGGGAGACAGTAGGGAAGAGTACAGGCAGTAAGTGATCTAAGTGAAAAGACTGGACTGACTGATAAATGTTTTCATCTCTCTTTTTTAGCACAAGTTTGGGAAGAGTGGTCAAGTGGACATTCAATCCATGATTAAGAGACTGCTGCAAACGTGAGAATTTGCTCCCATTCCTCTGAGAGGATACTAATGTGAATGGCTTTATTAGGGAGAAATCTCCTGCCTATTTAACAACCTGACAGAATCCTACAGCATAAGCTGGCATACTAGTCCAGAAAATCTACCAAGATGATCCCAGCAGCACCTTATCATTAGCAACTACTGATATGATTGTTATGACTTCACTGAACCCACCATCAATGAAATCTTGAGCGTATACTTTGAATTTAGGACTTTCTCCCAGCCAGGTACTCCAATCATGGAAGTGGTCATTTGGACTTGAGTGCTGTCAACTCAGCATTGTTGTTGGAGTGACCAGTTAGTTCAGTATTACAGAGTTGAGGGGAGTGAGCAGAATTCATCTTTTTTCACATTGCTGCTCTCAATGGACTTTCTTCCTGAGAAGACTACAGTGAATAGTGTCAGGAACTTGTAAAACTATGTATTGTTAAATCTAAGACACCTATTTCTGTTCTCCACATTCCTACCCTTATGAATTTTCCAAGGTCCTCTGAGTCTTTTTCATGGGAAAATATCGACAAAGGCAGATTGGTCATGACTAGATTATCTCGGCAAAGAACAGCTAAAAGGTCATTCAGTCTTGTATCTCTGAAACAACTAACCTTCTTTGGAAGTAAATGAAGTAATTCTCTTTGCTGCTGATTTGTTTCAAAAATAGGAAAAGGTAGAACAATAGGCACATTATGCAGAGTGTTTCTGAAAAGAACTTTTATAAATTGGTAATTTAGAAAATCAGTGGGTTGCAGACGAGACACAGCATCCTCTGTTGAGCTTTCAGCAATAACAGAAGTGTCATTTGAGTACACTCTTTAATCAAACTTTTTACGATCTATACCCGGTCTGTGCAGAGTTGAGTACTTGGGGCTGAGTGATATATTCCAATGCCTCCTACTTCCATGAAATCTAAGATGCTACTTTATCAAGCTCATTTTCCACAGGAGGGAGGTTGAGCAGACAGAGAGGCTGAGCAGTACATCCAAGGTCATGCTAAAAGTGAATGGTTGAATATGTGTTTCTCATCCTTTCCTTTTGATTCAGCACTCCTGTGTGCTTATAAAGGATGACTAACCCCAATTTATCACTCAGCTATTTCTACACCCTTTCCTATCTGGTAAAAATTACATTGATTTTGGCCAGGATGTCAGGGAACTACACTTACTCTCAAGAAAGGCAAAAGTCCCTCCCAGAACTAGGAAATTAATTTCAATTGATCTGAATGTTGAATTATAATTTCAGTCCCTAAATGTTGATGGTTGCTTTAGGGGTAAATGTATAACCTGCTTTCAGCACACGAGACTTAAATGTAAATGAGTTGGAGGACTTCCTTTCCTGAAGTAAACCATAGCCTTTTCTAGTCCTTAAATCTATCTCCTATGGAGGCATGGGCATCTTTAGAGCTGTAATAACTATCTGTATCTATAAGGTAAATAGTGGAGCGATAAAAATGGCCTAAGGTCCTTGGGTATATTTATGAGTTAATATTAAAAAAAAACCTGGAAATACCTCCAGAGTTCATGCCAAGTAAGATAATTTAAAGTTTTTCAAGTCGAAGCCACTATATTCCTTTAAATTCAATTTAAAGCATTCCTAGTGAACCGATGAGGTTAGTGCATATTGGAAATACAGCGTCTTGCATGCTTACAGAGAAAGTGGGGGTTACCAGGGGTAAACTAAGCCTTGAGTGAAAAAGATGGTCATTTAAGTCTAAATAGGGAAGTCTAAATTGTGAAGGATAAAACTGATACCCTCCTTGAGTCACAATTAAGAATGAATTTGTCAGATTCACAGTTTGCAAACACTGTTTCTGTGATGTAGCTTGCCTCTTTACTATGTTGATTGTTTATTTTGCTGTGCAGAAGGTTTTTAGTTTAATTAAGTTTCATTTATCTATTTTTATTTTTGTTGAGTTTGCTTTTGAGGACTTGGTAATAAATTATTTACGTAGGCCAATGTACAGAAGAGGTTTTCCCAGGTTTTCCTCTAGGATTTTTATAGTTTCAGGTCTTACATTTTATCTTGAGGTAATTTTTGTATATGGTGAGAGGTATGGGTACAGTTTCATTCTTCTGCATATGGCTATCCAATTTTCTCAGCACCATGTATTGAATAGGCTGTCCTTTCCCCAGGGTATATTTTTGCTGACTTTCTCAGTTAGTGGGACGTATATGGCTTATTTCTAAGTTCTCTATTCTGCTCCATTGATCCATATGTCTATTTTCACACGGGTGTCATGTTGTTTTGGTTACCATAGCTTTGTGGTATAATTTGAAGTCAGGCAATGCGATGCCCCCAGCTTTGTCCTTTTTGCATATGATTGTTTTGGCTATCTGGGCTTTTTTTGGGTTTCATATTAATTTTAGGATTGTTTTTTATAATTCTATGAACATTGATGTTAATAATTTGATAGGGATCGCATTGAATCTGTAATTTTTTTGAGAAGTGTGGTTACTTTAACAATATTGATTTTTCCAATTCATGAGCATAGGATGCTTTTCAGTTTGTGTCATGTACGATTTATTTCATCAGTGTTTTGTAATTCTCCTAATAGAGATTTTTTTTTTACCTCCTTGTTAAGTATGTTCCTATGGAACTAAAACAGCTCAAGAAGAGAAAAAGAAAAAACAAACCTAGTAAAGTATGAGCAGAGTTTATGAATGGATAAAAAGACATATAAGTGGCCAACAAATATATGACAAAATGTTCGACATTATTAATCATCATATACATACAAATTCAAACCACAAGGAGATATCATCTTATATCAGTCAGAATATCTATTATTAAAAAGTCAAAAAACAACAGATGTTGATGAGGATTTGGAAGAAACGGAACATTTATACACTGTTGGTGTGAATGTAAATTAGTATAGCTTTCATGAAAAACAGTATGGAAATGTCTCAAATAACTAAAAACAGAACTACCATTCAACCAGACAATTCCACTGAGTATCTACCTAAGAAGAAATAAATAATTACATCAAAAAGATACCTGCATTTGTATGTTTATCACAACACTATTCACAACAGCAAAGATATAGAATCAACCTAAGCATCCATCAAAGGAGGTATGGATAATAAAAATGCATTATATGTGTATATATATATACACACACACATATATACACACACACACATATATATAATATACACACATATATATGGAATACTACTCACCATTCAAAAGAATAAAATTATAGCTTCTGCAGCAACATGGGTGGAACTGGAGGCTATAATCCTAAGTGAAATAATGCAGAAACAGAAAGTCAAATACTGCATATTCTCACTCACAAGTGGGAGATAAACAATTGGTGCACACTGACAGACTGAAATAATAGACACTAGATACCACAAAAGTTAGAAGGGTGAGAGGCAGGTGACAATTGAAAAGTTGTCTATTGGGTACAATATTCACTATTCAGATGATGGGTTCACTAAAAGCCCAGACTTCACCACTATGCAATATATGCATGTAAGAATTCTGTGCTTGTATATGGGGTACTATATATATAGTTTGCATAACTATATATTTATGTATAATAAGTTTGTACAGAAGTGCAATATTTTCAATGTAGGGTTCAGGTCAGCTAGAGATACATGGGAACTCCAGACTTCGGAAAAAGTCATAAGTAGTGTAGTCTGTGATGATTAGACAAAAATGAATTCAGTAATTCAGTATAAGCCAGAATAAAAAAAAAAATGACACCAACATCTAGCCCCTGAAAGCTCAGATATGGGCAAGATCTGGCAAACTGACCCATCAGTCAAATTTGGTCTACTGCCTGTTTTTGAAAACAAACTTTTATTGGAACACAGATGCATCCATTGTTTATATTTTGTTAATTTGCATGGTAAAAATCAGTAGTTGAGACAGAGACCATATGGCCCACACAGCCTAAAATACTTGTTATTTTGCCCTCCATTGAGAAAGTTTCCTGACCCCTGGTCAGGTATCCAATGAGGATTTCCTATTCTGGAGACACAGAGAGCCCTTAGACACACAAAAAATGTGGAAGACGAGAATAAAAGGACCAAGAAAGATTGAGCATTTGAGTGGGAAAAGGGAATAGCTGTTGCCCCTTAAAATTACAAAAAATGCTTTGCATTTATGCCAGTGCCTAACATTACATTAAATGTTTGTGTTTGCATAACTATATAAAAGAACAGACAAATTTATAGCTTTGCTAATATTTTACAAAGGAAATTTTTATATGCTGAGCATCTGACTACCTATTGCCTCTGGTATTTAGGCAGGGAGCCTCAATAAATTATTGCAGTGCACATGCAGAATAGCTCATGCATTTATGAGAAAGTGTGTGGATATGGTGATTTTGGCTTTGGATGCTGAGGTAGAGGAGAGCAACACAGTTGTGCTGACATACAAGGACTTAGCTTTCTATTTTATCTCACAGATTACTTTTGGCCCAAAGTCTGACTGATGTTTTACCATTACCCATCAATACAATTACACATACTTCATATCTAAAATTGCCTTTCCCAAACTAAGTGTCATAAAACATGCAACAAAGGAAGAGATGCTTCATGGCAAGCCAAATGTTTCTACACAAAGAGAAAAATAAACATTACCTTTTCATAAAACTTGCTTTGGGAGCTGAAATTGATATAATAAATTCATAAAGAGACTTTGCTATGATAGGAATAATTTGGCCCTAAACGTGAGTTGCTTTTATTCAGGTAATAATTGCCTGGCAATGTTCAAGGTGTTTCTCCCTTTCTTTATGGCCATGTTTACAATGTTGCCAAGAAGTAGAAAGCCTAATACAGAGTGTTTCAGGGCTTAAATTTTACCCTAAGGTGTCTGAACCCGGAGAAAACACCATGACCACTGTCTTCATGAATAATTGCAAACAAGAGTGAAATCTTCACCTGCACTTTTTTGCATCATCAATTAAATCTAGTAATTGAAACATTATAAGGAAAATGAACTCAATAAGAGCTTTATTTTTAGGGTGAAACCTTCAAAATATGGAGCAATCACTACAAAAATTTTCTTGCATAATTCTTTGTTTGAACTTTCTGCTTCTCTTAGTATGGATAGTGCCTAATGACCTTACATGACACAGATCAAATATTTTCTCCTTAAATGGGGTATTTCTTTACTGACCCCAGGGAACCCTATAGTCTTTTGCTTACTCAGAGCCCTGAACCTGGTCCGACTACACATTTAAAAAATATCGGATGGAACTGCATAATATCTATGCTGCCTTATTATATTTAATTTTCTCTGGAGCTGTAGATGTGTATTTGTGACAAAAATAGATTAATTTTAATCTCTTTACTCTAGAAATCACATTTTTTCAAATAGAGTATCCTGTTTATCCTGATATTTTGTGATGTTGTGCAGATCTGTGACCTGAAATGGTAAATTGCACATTACCAGATTATTCTAAACGGGAATGTGGAGTTGAATATCACTGACATTGTAAACTTATGTTTGTAAGATGACCAGTTTAGTGCCCAAGAGGTAATATTTTATATATGTAAGTATGTTTATGGACGTGTTATATATATTACAAATATATCACATTCTATATAATACTTTATACAAATCTTAATTATGCAAAATAGATGTTATTTGAATTACATTTTATTAAATCTGTACGTTAGATGCAGATTTTTATTTTCTTTTTAGAGGAACAGATTGAAAACATAGATCTTATACTCTACTACCATTAACACAATCGAATGGCCTTAATTTCTCAATAGGACCATTTAATATTCATTTTTTAATTTCTGCATTTACACATAATATCTCTCCGGAGGCCTCTAACAGATTCTATTGCTGCAGTTTTAATGAGAACTATCAAAGGTTACTATGAGATGATGATCTATACTTAATTCATAGATTTCCCCAGACGCTTGTGTAATTCAGTGCTGTTTAGATTCTTTTCGAGTTTTATTGTCTTGAAACATTTATCCCAATTTTAACTGCATATTTAATCATTATTAGCATAACCCTTTCATTCTTCAAGTTAGTATTTTGAGAATTGATATGGAAAAATTATGGCCTCTTCAGGGAATTTAATAATTTTGCTTGTGAGGAAACACTGAAAAGTCATTTTGTGTAGGTGTGATGTTTCAAAATAGGTTCTGGTCGAGTATTTTTATGTAACCAAACAGTATTGATGTTTGAGTCTTCCAAATTTTATAATTATAATTTTTTGGCATAAATGCATTGATCAGAATAAAAGATAGCAAGTGCTTAAAGATGACTGATATGCGTTGATTTTGGAGAATACATGTGAGTCAAAAACATACAGATAGAAGAGGAAAAACCTGAATTATAATCTGGATTAAAATCTTAATTGTGAGGTTTCAGATAAATTGTGGTTAAGTGTTCTTACCTTACTTAAATTTTTTCTCTATCACTAGTAATACTGAGAGGTGACGACGTGCTAGCAGCCCTCGCTCGTTCTCTGTGCCTCCTCGGCCT